GTCGTTTCCAGTGTACGTTTTGGAGAAAAGGGTTATTCAAGGCTACGTACAGAAAATCATCAGCTTTTTTCCCAAAGAGTCATGTGAAGGCAGTAAACTGGACCGGGTTATGGCTTCTGACCCAGCTGACCTCTGACTGCCTTATACCCAAGGCTACTACTGCTAAAGGCACAAGAAGAAGATGATATAGCATCAATTCCGCCCCTTCTGTTGTGAAACAGACAGTTTGGATTTATACTGTTTGCATATATCCTCGAAGCCTCAGGCTTTTCACGGCTATTCGATTTACTGGCTTTTTACAACATATTCTCCTGACTGTGGTTCCCCTCAGCTCTGTTCATCTATTTTCATCTCTCTACTGATTATTGTTAAGCTTTTACCACTTGATGTTTAGATCTTTCAGTTTATTCTTCTCATCTTAATAGAAATGTAGCAGCAGTGAAAAGACCAGTCAGTGGATATGGTTCACAACCATCTGGGAAAAAAGGGAACTTGATAGAGATATTTCATAAAATATTTTTGGGCTAAATGTGAAAAAAATTAAAGTTTTTAACTGTGAGCAGGTTCAGTCTGCCCAGATGGTGTCGGGGATCAAATATGTTTTAAAAAGGCATCAGATGATATCTCACTTCCTGTGTTTAAGGCTAACAAATTTAGCATTTTTTTACAAAAATATCCACAAGCAGTCACTAACCTTCACAAGGCCCCATGTGATAATCTCTTGTGAGACTAAGTAAATGACATGAGGAGAGGGAATTTTGGTCGTATTTCAGGAGTGCAGACATACAAGTCTGACTACAAAATAGAGTTTCTGCGCATACTAAACATTCACCAAATCACATTTATATTGTGATAATATGCTGGTGTTATATTTTACACATCTGCTTAAATTTTAGCCCAAGCAGATTTATGGTAACCATCCATCCATATATCCATTTTCCACTACTCTGGTCACAGGGGCAGCAGCCGAAGTAGGGAAACCCAGACTTCCCTCTCCCCTGCCACCTTTGCCAGCTCTTCCGGGGGGATCCCAGGGTGTTCCCGGGCCAGCAAAGACACATAGTCCCTCCAGTGTCTTCTGGGTCTTCCTCTGGGCCTCCCAGTGGGACGTGCCCAGAACACCTCACCAGAGAGGCAACTAGGAGGCATCCTAATCAGATGCTCGAGCCACCTCAACTCGCTCCTCTCCACGTGGAGGATCAGCGGCTCAACTCTGAGCCCCTCCCAGATGGCCAAGCTTCTCAGCCTATCTCTAAGGGAGATCGCAGCCACCCTGTGGAGGAAACTCATTTAGGTTGCTTGCATCCGTGATCTCGTTCTTTTGGTCACAACCCAATGTTCATGACAATAGATGAGGGTGGGAACATAGATCGACTGATAAATCGAGTACTTTGCCTTTAAGCTCAGCTCTCTCTTCATCCCATAGACCGGTGCAGCCCCCACATTACTGCCGACGCCGCATCGACCCATCTGTCGTTCTCCCACTCCCTACCCCCATTCGCGAACAAGACGCCGAGGTACTTGAATCCTCCACTTGGGGAAGGACGTCCCCCTTTTCAGGTGAGTAACCATGGTCTCGGACTTGGAGGCAATGATCATCATCCCATTTGGCTGCGAACCGCTCCAGTGAGAACTGTAGGTCACGACTTGACGAAGCCAACAGGAGCACATCATCTGCAAAAATCAGGGATGCCATCCTAAGGCCACCAAGATGGACACCTTTGACATCTCGGCTGCACATAGAACTTTTGTACATAAAAGTTATGAACAGAAACAGAGACAAAGAGCAACCAACTCTAACCGGAAACGAGTCTGACTTACTACCGCAATGCGAACCAAGACATCGGTCATACAGGGACTTAACAGGCTGTAATAACTCCCATGCACCCTCCAGGATCCAGCTGAGGGTATGGAGATGGCCCACGGCCAGGATGAAAACCACAATAATCCTCCTGAATCCAAGGTTTCACTATCCGACGGACTCTCCTCTCCAAAACCGCCTAATAGACCTTCCCAGGGAGGCTTAAGAGTGTGATCCCCCTGTAGTTGAGAAACACCCTTAGGTCCCCCTTTTTGATTAGGGGGACCACCACCCCATTCTGCCAATCCAGCAGAACTGCCCCTGATGTCCATGCGATGTTGCAGAGTCGCTTTAGACAACGCAACCCCACAACAACCAGAGCCCTGAGGAACTCCGGCTGAATCTCATCCACCCCCGGAGCCTTGCCACTGTGGAGCTTGGAGATTGGAGAGCCCGACTCCAGATACCCACCTCAAATGGAAAGCGCGCCAGTGGGATTGAGGAGGTCTTCTAAGTACTCCGATGGTCGACCAGAATTGTCTCAGAGCTGAACTCCTCCCACACCTGAGTTTTTGCAACCACCAGAGCTGCATGCCGCTTGGACTGCCCCCCTCCATCGGAGCAAACTCACCACCTGATAGTGGTCAGTGGAAAGTTCCGCCCCCCTCTTCACCCGTGTGTCCAAGAAATGCAGCTGCAGATCAGCTGAAACCACAACAATGTAGATCATTAACTGCGGCCTAAGGTGTCCTAGTGCCAAGAGCACACATGGACACCCTTATGCCTGAACATGGTGTTCATTATGGCCAATCCATGCTGAGCACGGAAGTCCAACAACAAAACACCACTTGTGCTCAAGCTGGGGGGGCCATTCCTCCCAACCACACCCCTCCAGGTCTCACTGTCTTTGCCCATGTGAGCGTTGATGTCCCCCAGCAAAACAAGGGGGGCACCGTCCAGCACCCCCTCCAAGGATTCCAAAATTGGTGGGTACTCTGCACTGCTGTAAGGTGCATAAGCACTAACAACAGTAAGCACCTGTCCCCCTACCCGAGGGCGAAGGGAAGCTACCCTTTTGTTCACCGGGGTGAACCCCAACGTACAGCAACCAACATGGGGGGCAACAAGTATGCCCATTCCTGCTCAGCACCTCTCACCGGGGGCAACCGATTAGAAGAGTGTCCAACCCCTCTCAAGAAGGCTAGTTCCAGAGCCAGAACTGTGCGTCGAGGCGAGACGACTATGTCCAGCTGGAATTTCCCCGCCTCGCACACCAACTCAGGCTCCTTCCCCACCAGAGAGGTGACATTCCATGTTCCTAGAGTCAGCTCCTGCAGCCGGGGATCGGTTCGCCGACGTCCGCCACCCGTTCCACATTGCACCCAACCCCTTTGGCCCCACCTATGGGTGGTGAGCCCAATGTAGGGGGGACCCGTATGGCCTCTTCAGGCTGAGTCCAGCCAGGCTCCATGGGTTAAAGCCCGGCCACCAGGCGCTCACCAACGTGCCCCACCTCTGGGCCTGGCTCCAAAATGGGGCCCCCGTGACCCGTGTCCGGGTGAGGGTACACATGGCCCATTCATGTTATTTATCATAAGGGGTCTTTACGGTAACTGCAAACCAATACACACGTGTCACAGTAAATAGGCTCTTCTCTTATTCACTTTCCCTTTCTCTTTGGTGTTTGTGTTGCCTTTTAAAGTCACCTACATTAGTGCTTTGGTGACAAAATACATTTTAAAGGTACGAATGTAGGGTTCTAAATACCTAACATGCATCTTTTTGCAGTGGGAAGATACAGTAGTAGTACATACCGCATGTAAATTATCGTATGAAGTTTCTAAACCTGACCAAAAAAGGAGCAAAAGCTAAAACTAAACATAAAATGGGGCCAGGGTTAGGGTAGGTGAATCCTAAAAAATCAATGTTTTTTTAGGACCATCGCCTCCCCTCTTCGTTTAACAACAGTCTGTAAACATCTGAGAGCTCAGGATATCCGTTGCAGGATAATTGGGGGAGGAATGATGTCCCCTCTTGTCTGATCCAGAATCCTAATGGCTCCACAGTCCTGTGGCTCCTTTGTCATGTTCAGTGTTTTCAAATGCATTAAATGTTTTGCAAAAAGGTGTTTACGGCAGACAGGTCTTTTACCACAAAGCCGCACTGTTGTAATAGATGCAGTGAAGTTTTGCGTGGACAATAAAAATGGAGAGTTTGTGTCAATAGCTACATAGAAAAAAATGTATGATTATTTCCCAAATAAAATAAAAAAAACTAAAAAAGAAGCTTGACAGACAAAGTGCCTTGATCCAAGATTTTACAGAAACCCAACAAGCTTGCAATAAAAGCAGGTCCCCTGGAGAGCTCTTCTGTTTCTGATCTCACACGGTGAGCATAAACACATGTTGCAAAACTGACTCCATTGCCCCCGAAGGAAAACAAGTTTTATTCTTAACCTTTCTTAGAAACTAATCAATGCTTGGGCTAAATCACTTAAGGGGTCGTAAATCTAGAAGACAGATTTCCCCTCAGTGTAAAGGGGTGCACTGTCAACCACCCTATTTTGAAATAGCAGCAGTTTAGCAGGGACTTTCCTTTCTTCTTATATAGAAGTATCTTTTAGAGGTGCATTAATAATGCAAGCAGAAGAATCCCATCTCTCAGATGGCCCAGCTTTGCAGACTGCAACAAGTATCTTTTTGTGCAAGTGGAGGAGGGAGTTGATCATGTGCTTGATATTATCTGTTTATGAAGCGGTAATACAGTGGCCCTCTATGTTCCAATCCGGCAGTGTGGTTCCTCACTGTTGTTTTGTATTTCTAATTGACCTGCAGGCCGAGTGTACAGTATGCCTCAATGTTGTGGCTTTATAGAAAGCTGAGCACATGTCCTCCACTTTTCCCCAGTGCGCACCAGCTAATATGTTAATATACTATTCTACAGTCTTATGACTTATATGTTGGGTACAAATCCAATTTGCAAAAGTGCACTGGAGATAGTGGAAATGAGCTTAATGGTTTTTCTTTTCCATGTTACAGAAATAAGGATAACAACTTCAAATTAGTGAGATAGCGGCCGGTTTGTGTGCTGGTGTGACCCCCAGTGTTGGGACTGCGTACCTCCACATGCTCCACATCGAGAGCGGCTGACAAGTCAAATGAGATATGGCAGCTGCAAAGGATCACAGAAAAAAATTCTTGTCGCCGTTTCTTTTTAATGCATTTTTTCATTTGTACATGAAGCAGTTCTTAAGAGGTTTGCAGCAACTTATTGTAAGGTTTACAATAAGCTTACCTTGGAAGAGAATTGATTGTTTTCCCTACCTTAAGGTGGAAATTGGCGTTTGCCCAATAGAGGCCAGGACAAGTTCCATCTGTTCCACGACCTAAATTGACTTAAGTGGCTATAGGAAGTATCATGGTGAAGCTAATAATACAAAAAACAAACACACAAGAATACAAAATTCAAGCTATAAGGATCCATTAAGCACTATATTCCTGATACACTCGACTTGCTGCTGGGCTTGCACCAGTTTTTAGAGATGACAGGTGGCGTACCTGCCTTGGTTCCACCGAAACTAAACAGTGTGTTGATATCTTGTGTGCAAACGTAAAGGGCATGGCAAACAAATGCTTTTGCCCTGTTTATTCAACTGGGACACTTTCAAATCCTAATATTTGTCCTCAGTGCGTGTCAAATTTAAACTTTAGAAGCATGCACAGCAGAGCAGTAGACAAACACCTTAGAAAAAAAACACATCAGAGAGAAGTCTAGCAATCTCACGTGACACCCCACTGTGAGAAACAAGGGGGAATACTAAAGAACAGCAGTAGATCAAGAACAAGGCACAATAAATATCTCCAACATTTACATTGAATTATTTCACAGGACATTACACAAATTTAAATTTTAATATCTCTGTTGTTTGAAACCACTGACAATAACCCGTCAGATATCACAGATAATGCCACTGATCAGAACATCTACATATCTATATAAGGTCATTATATGAGTGCTTTTGGTATAGCAATGATTGTCATATCATAGTAGTACAACATTAAACAAATGTGTCCTGGATGAATAAATATTATTGAAGAATGTCCTTGTGAAGCTTGTTTACTGAATGAATACATTTGAATCCAGAGCATAGCTGCTTTTATTAAACCTGAAACTGTTTATATTCCCCCTCTCATCGTATTTCCCTTATAATTTCTTGCTCATCGAACCAACGAGAGCTGTAACCATTCTGAGCTTGCAGACGCATTCCCGGTCTGCTTGTCTGATGCCCTCCCTGTGCGTGGTTTCCATTTAACTGCACTCAACATGGTGGTTTTCCCCGGCCTCTGAGGTGGTGACGGGCTTGGGCTTGACCTGGCTCGTGGAGCTGGCCCTAACCGTGCGGCGCAGGGAGGACAGGCGGCTGCGGAAACCCTCTCCGGAGAAGAAGTAAAGCAGCGGGTCGAAGCAGGAGTTGGCGGCCGCCAGGGACAGCGTGACCACCACCGACTTTTGCATGGCCACCCGCTCCGAGCAGGTGGTGTCCTGCCGGGCCAGGAAGCTCAGGTGGAGGGTGCGCTGCACGTGGTACGGCATGAAGCTGGTGAGGAAGGTCAGCAGCACCACGGCGATCATGCGGATGGCCCTGGCGGCCGAGTTCTGCTGCCGGTTGGCCACCAGGTTGCGGGACAGCAGGGTGCGGACGATGCCGGCGTAGCAGATCAGGATCACCAGGAAGGGCAGGATGAAACCCACCACCAGAGCCACGTAGTTCAGCGTCTGCAGCTTTTTCAGGTACTTGCCCGACGTCTGGGGCGGCTCGAAGCACTTGGTTGTGTTTGTGGCTTTGTCGAAAGTCTGCCCGGACATCAAAAAGGACGAGGAGGAAAGGCTGCTGAACAGCCATATGCCCACGCACACGGCCCGGGCGCGGTTCACCGTCACCAGCTGCAGGTTCCTGACGGGGTAAACGATGGCCAGGAAGCGCGTGATGGACATGGCGGTCATGAAGTAAATGCTGCAGTAGAGGTTGACGTAGAGCAAGTAGGAGCTGATGCGACACAGGAAGTCCCCTTGGTACCAGCGGCCCTGCCTGACGTAGTAGAGGACCCGCAGCGGCAGCGTCATGACGCACAGCAGGTCAGACAGGGCCAGGTTGATCATGTAGACGTGGAAAGGGGTGCTCTGGCGGTAGCTCCGGAACAGCACCAGCAGAGCGAACCCGTTGCCCACGAAGCCCAGCAGGGTGATGAGGGAGTAGGACGTGGAGTAAACCTGGTTGCGGAAGTTGTCGATGCTCGGACACTTGGTGAGGTTGCTCTCCATCCCTCCTGTTCGGCAGGACAAAGAGACGCAGCGTGATTAGAGGCGCTACAGTAAAAAACAAAGGCGGCACAAAATGCGTGCGCTCTGTTCTGGAGATTACTTTGTGCTGACGTTAAAACCTTTGGGGAGATGTACAGAGGCAGATAAGCACTTTCAGACAGCATAAACAAAAATAAATAGATATTTCTCTTCTGCTGTACAAGATCTACTTTGATAAGGCATGCGCAAAGAAAAAGTTTGGGGATTTTGCAATACATTTTCAGCACAAATGCAATTTAATGATCAAATGTACTTAATTAAAAATGAATGCACTCAAAACAAACAAAAAAAAACAACACCAGCCAAGTCTTCTGCATTCTTCTCCACTTAAACTTTGAAGCCCTTTATGTCAAGTCATCTGAGTAGTCAAGTCAGACTCACGCAAACCTAGACACTTGTTCTGCAATTTTTTTTTCCAATTGAGTCAGAGCTTGTCTTAAAAAAAGCAAAAAAGTGTGTGTGTTTGCATTAAACAAACACTGAACTAAACCTACACAGCTCCTTGAGACTTTTACTAAAGGTTTCCTCTCAGCTCTTAACCCTCTAGTTGAAGCCAACCATGCACATGCTCAAAGTTTCACTTCGATCAGTGATGCTATTCTTCTTACCTCTGGAAATTTGAATCCCTGACCCGTCAATTCCCGGCTACACCAGGCGGCTTGTTTATTGTCCTCCGCTCCGGGCTAATGAGCTCGACAGCGCTGGTGCCTCAGAGTGCGTCTCCTCTGCTTCTCTGCTTCATGCGCCAGATGTCATAACAGCAATGAAGTGGCGCTTCCTCTTCAGACCTGCTTGCAGGACTCTCTGCCTGTGACATCACAGACACCACAGCCAGCGCAGACGGCCCCCGACACCTCATTCGAGCTGCAGAAAAAAGAGTTTTCGAAACATGGGAAATGATTTTCAGCCCCTTTGCTGAGACATCTTATTTTTTCTCTGAGGTCGCACCTTTGCATTTATGCATTCCCACCGTCCCCCCCCCCACCCTTTCCGTGTCTCTGCCTCTAAGTAGTCAAGTTTAATTTGTAGCCCATGTCCTGAAGGTACTTCCTATTTGACATCCTCAGTGCTACACAAACACGCTACCTTCATGACCTTCAGGTCTCCGTACTCTGAATCCGTTTTTTTCTCGCCAAACCTGTTTGAATCTTACCGTGTGCTTATTTAATAGCTGCAAACAACTCTGCAAGCTTTTGAAAAGCCGTGCTGCGAAGTGACAGGCGGAATGTGAATCATCTGAATAGTGTCTGCCTCGGCAGTGTCGCGGCAACCTTTTTAGGAAGCCTGCAAGATTCAGTGTAGGCACTCTGTGCAAGCAAGTTGTGGCCAGGCAGAGAAACCCAAGACAGCATGATAAGATGATGAGATATGAGATACTTGAGCTGTTTTCTTTGGAAGTTACTAATGATCGAATCTTACAGTCGGTTAATGGGGTGCGGAAACAAGAGGGCAAATGCACAAACCCATCCTTTTTGGCACTGAAAGGCCTTTGTGGTGGAAGGGCAGGGTAATTCAACTGTAACTCATTTAGTTGTTGGGCAATAGCAGAGACAAACATTCAAACACACATCCAGTATCTACCAGCGCCAGTGACTCTTTGTGATCAGATGATTATGATGCCTGTTTGATTAAAGCGTTTCGATCCCACACTGAGGCACATTAAAAGTCCATTTGTAGTTTTATAACCAGCCAGTCTAAAGTGTCCCGAGGTCAGAATTTTCTTTCTTTTTCTCCCCACAGACGCCGTCATTCACTATTGATATTTCCCCATTCTGTAGTCTAATTGCTTACTGATTGTTTTCTAATTGATGTAATGCTGTTGTCAATAAAGAATCACTCCAATCATAATATTTATGGGGGAAAAAAACTTTCCAAGAAAACAGAATCGGAATCAGTAGCAACAGCCAATTAAAATTCAGGTCTGCAGATAAAAGCTCAGCAAGTAAACTTTTCTGCATCTGAACACGGGAGGCATTAAACGCTGGTTGAACAGATTACTGTTTCTTTTGAAAGTTGTGGTTCCTTTGTGGCTTATAATTGAAGTGGTCTGAAAAAAATCCAATAATGTGGGCTGGAAGTGGAGACGCTTAGTACAGTAAGTGCATCCTGACAAGTCAATTCCCGCTAATTACTATGGCCGACAATGACTTTAAATGGCTTGTTAAGCCGACCTAAGAGTGAGACCTCCTGGTTTTGTGGATGTCGCCAGAGCAAAAACAAGCGGACAGATTTTTAAGTTCATTCCGGTAAATGGTCTCATACACTTTGAGGGGAGCTTCATTGTCCCTGTCTTTCTTTACGCAAGATGTCACAATCCCCTCATGGAGGCCAAAAAGGGTTGATTCATAAGTTATACACAGGACTTTCAATCATTCAGACAAAACAAGCATATGTAACCAAGCACATTTTCTGCCCGCTGTTAATATTTTGTTAAGTTTATTTTAACGTCAGGTTACATTCCTGAGTTAGCTTTGTGAAATAAAAAGATTTACTGATTGTTAGACAATAAACACTTTTATGGCTGTAATAAATTATCTTCAGCACATGAAAAAATACCTTAAAGGAGCACTAGAGAAGTTTGTGAACCTCTAAACCACGTGCTTCCGATATGTTTGACATATTCTGCTATAGATCATTCCAGTTCATCCCAGCATTTTGCTTTACTGTACCTTGACATGTTTTTGGGTTTTCAATTGTCTCTTCGCGGCCTCTTCAACATGACAACAAATCAATGTATTTGCCTTTAAATTGCTTTAAATTGTCCCTTGGACTGTTGTTTTTTTATAGCAGTGTTACATCCCACAGGCATAGCGAACAGAATAAATTCTGGAGCATAAAGAAATCCATTTTCACATTTCACATGAAGTTCCTGTCATAACCAGTAGAGGCCACATATTTTAACTGAACTGTAGGTCATTTTTGGATACAAAACAGACGCCAAATGTGGTTTTATTTGGGACGACAGTCCAAAAAACATCAGAAAATCAGATAAAAAATTTCTATTTGGTTTTGCAAAGTGTGTGACAGGGCAAACAGATGTGCTAGCCTCTATATTAACCTTCCTGATCTTCTTCTCATCCACATTATAGAATGACAACTTCTCCATCTGTGATCTGTGTGGCACGTTACAATGGACAGAGCCTTAAGAGGGTACATGTCCAAGTTGTGTGGCATGACATTAGAAACTCACTTTTTCAACTCCATAATGGCTGACAGTCATCATTGGTTTCCCCTAAACGTGGTCACAGTATTTCTCTGAACCTAACCACATTTCTTTGATTTGTCTCAGTTTAACTTAAACCAACTGTTTTCTGCCTGTTAGAATTATTGAATCATCCGGGAGGGGCGAATTAAGCATAGTCAGGTGCATTCAAATCTAATATTAACCCCTGTTTCTGCTCTTTGTCTCTTGACTTTGAGAGATTGCTGTTTTGCTGTTGAATTACATGTTACAGTGGCTAACTCTCCATGTTGTTTGTCAGTGCTGACCAGCCAGCTTTCTCTGAGGCTGTGGAAATAAGACCCAAACAACAGCTGCTCTAACTTCCACGGCAACGTACTTTCTAGTGAAAGCCATGATCAGAGGAGTGCTCTTCATAATATGCGACATCGCATAGTTTCAGCTGTGTTTAAAACACTTCTCATGACAGGAGCAGCTGCAATGTTAAGTGAAAATATTTTACTATAGAGGAATGACTAAATAACTCATATTGGAAGCCACTGGCAAACATAAAAAACTTAGGTATGAACACCTGACTTTTGCATTTGATCCAAATTCAGAAGTTCCACAACTTCTGCAGGACTCCTTTCATGCAGTGGGAGCAAATGCTTCTCTTTGCAGTTAGGAGGTTGTAAGAAGGCTCCCATCCATAAAATGCAAAATTACAGTCAGCTTTAAGTTTTAAGAGATATTTGCAGAGCTAGGACAAAGAAACACTCCTACTATGACAACACTCATAGTAGTGGTGTTGTAAAAATTATGTAGAATTTCCCTTTCACCTTGAAACAAGGATGTTTTTTTGGGTCATGTTATCTACGAAATGCATCACCCATCTCAGCAGTTAGGTGGACAAGACTTCGACAAGCGAGGCTCAGCAAAGCTGCCTTGACTGAAAGCTTCTGTGGTTTCTCAGCTGCAGCAGTTTTACAGATGAACTGTTAGTTTTCGCACTAATGCTCGATCCTCAATTGTTCAGTTCAGGGACGTTCATGCATGGGACATTGAAATCCTTTTAAAGAAGCACATCGCTTGTTACTTTAATGATGACTATTGATTAATAGAACATATAATTAAGTGTTAACAGAATTATCGGTATCCTCCAATGGTTTTAGGCTGCTTTATGGGGTTCCATGAGAAGCTTCAGGTTTTTTTTATGTAAGTTGCCATGCCCGTCCAGCAAAGATGGAAACACATTTGTGCAAGCAAATGCTATCGTCTGCAATTTTCATGTTCATTTTACTTCATATAAGAGAGGAAATAGGAGAATGTACTTCACTGTCTTATCAGATCACGCATGCTTATTGTGATTTAAGCTGTTTTGATGTATTTTCATTTTTTTCTCTTCAGTCTCAAGTTATTTTGACAAACTGAGCAAGAACTGTACCTTTTTCTACTCTTTAAGGTAGAATTCTAAATTCAGAGTATTGTTTTAAACACCTAACAGTTCACAAGTTAAATAGATACTTTTGATAAAGGTAAAATCTGATTGGAAGGCCAAACGCCTAAAAATTAATCACAATTTACTTAATTCTTCCCAATTGTGAGCAACATGCTCATGAATGAAGGTCATGAGTTTTGAAAACCCACGCTTACGTTTCATCAGGCTCTAAACATTGAAGTTGCACTCAGTCTGAAATGAACAGCATACACATATGTTGTATCCGGTCCTAATGGGTTAAATGGAAGTAAAGCTGTAAACACTTGAACTAGGCTCAGACTTATGAATCCTTCTAATGAAATTATTATCTCAGCAGTTGAATGAGGTCATCAGTGTTGGCTGAGCGTCCATTTAAACACCATTAACCGATAGATTCAAATAATAAAGGAAATTTTTGTGAGCAGCTATAAACGTGCAAAGAGTTGTCCATGCTTTTTGCTCCCATCGCAGCACAAATGTATACATTCGATCAACCTTAATGGTTCCACAGTAGAGAAATTCAGTTGTTAAGGCAGCTCACAGGAAAGAAGCTATGAGGTGCAAACAAAGTATCTGCAATGAGGACAAACGGTAGAAAAAAAGAGATGTCTCACAAATAAGAATATGATTAGTAATAATTTCAATATCATGATCTCTAATGTGGGCCAGGTGTGTTTTACAGACCATGAAATCATGATGGATGAATCTTGATTTAAATATGCAATGTTTGTTACGGTGCCCGGGGGTGAAGGGATGGATCCAGGTTTAGGAACACAGGAGTCTCAGAGAAACTCAGGAACTAATGTTGCATTGTTAAATCTCCAAAAGGGACAGCACAGAATGAATACATTATTAACTCAACTGGACAAACCCAAAACCAAAATCCTGTAACAAGAACCCAAAAAAAATCAAAAGAGCAAACAGGGAGCAAACCTAGAATGGACTCTTGAGACAAAAGAAGTGCAGGAAGGGTAACACATAGTTGAGACTCGGATGTTACAGTGCATTAAAAGACACAGATGCATAAATTGAGGGGAGACTGATTATTGGAATGAAGAGCTGTTCGGAAAGGTACGGTGCAGTCAGTTTAACTAATGTGGAAGTCAGAGGAAACCAAGGCCCAAGAATGAAGGTGAAGAGACACAGGGAACAGATAACACATAGACAAAACCTGAATAATATAATAATGCAAGTAAAATGAAAAGATTTTAAAAAAGTCCAAAACGGCAAACAAAATTTCAGCTGCTGATAAATTAGACTAAACACACTTTTAAATAGGAAACCATCAGATTCAGAGAAACTGTGTAGCATTTAACATAAAGCACTTTTCACGTGTTCTAAATTAACTATTCAACCTTGACTAAATATTCCATTTCTTAGAATGAGAGGCAGTGTGGAAATATACAAATACCAGACAAGAAAACTGTGTCATTCAATTTAGCAACTAGAATTAAATAATTAATCTAAAAATACAAAAGAGGTTTGTGCACACTTTTGAAAAAGGGAATGTGTTCAGTCGTTCTCCCCACATGTCCACATCTTTATACTTTGTAAGGAGCAGAAACTTTAATGTAACCTATGACAGGCGATTTGTGGCTTTGATGAAACTCTACAATGCATGGATGGCTGTTTCATGAGCAAGCCACGTGATGCTGGCCTTGTTTGCAGATGGAAAGTCTGGAATGTTTAAACTTAGGTTGTTGGTACAGGTCTAAGCCACAGGCTAAATATTAAATCATTTCAATATTCCTTCCTTGTGCTTGCAATAGATGTATGGGTGAAAAAATCTGGTAAGGGGAAAGCATTATTGTGTGTTAATACATTTGGTAACTGGGTAGCCAAAATTACCCATTTATTGCTTTTACAACTTGCCATAAAAGGTAATTAGATGAGCAAACATAGCTTGCATTTACCAAGCCCCACACACTTCACATATATCGTTTGCATAGAAAATAAACAGCTATTTCATGTTATATGACGAAATTTTCACAAATATTTTTGAGCCATCACAGATGTGCTCATGGCCATCTATGGGAAGTTTTCCCATTTTCAGAATGAACTACAAACTATTCGAAGAAATAATGTTTGCAGAACTAATGAGAAAAAAATACTTATTATATTTCTGAGAGACATACGAGACTCATTTGAAGGAATTCAAATGTTGCAAATAAGAAGACAAGAGCACACCCACCTGCAATAAAACCTGACACAAAGACAGATCTCTCTTTGGGACATGCTCAGAGGATAGGTGGGACGTGTAGCAGGAATTAGTGGCATGTGCAAAAGTAAAAAACAACTCCTGAGCTATAAAACTGGAATGATATAAACAGCTATAAACAGTACGCTCAGAAAAGTATGATACTCCAGACAAATCCAACCCTTGTGTACATCGTGAACCTTGTAAGGGTTGGTATTTTTGGATTCCAAAGGCATCAGTCTAAATCAACTTATGTTTCAGTGAGCTGACCTAATTTGTGAGGTCTGTTGAAGTCTAACAGACTATCACCAAGTGTTCCGTCGATATGCCACTACTTAGATACCCAAGTTCTTTGAGTATACACAACGTGATCACAACTGGAACTGTTTTTACCAACCAGATGTCGGTTAAAAACTTGATTCAACAGCTTGTAGAACCACTTCGACAACCTGGATTACTCAGTTGTCTGTGTGTCAAATTATAGGGAGGAATTTAGCCTCCCTATTCTTTAGAATCTAGCAGGCATTTCAGTCGGGTGTGAAGACTTGACTTTTGGCTGGGTTATTGCAGCACTTTTAACCTGTTACTTTTCAGTCTTTCTGTTGGAGGTTTTACTGTCGTGTCAGAAAACTGTGGAAAACAGTGCGCAGCACCATAAAAAAAAGCAACCAAAATGATCAGCCCTGTGATGTATTTACTGATACGTAACAGATAGGCACAGAAATGAATACAAATTTGTTAAAAGAAACAAAGCTCTATGCTTTTTAGAAGTGGGGTAGCCAAGATGGTGTTAGACAGCCTCCAAACCCTTGATAGACTGTAGGGTTTGAGATGTAGATTTCGGTTTTTCGCTGCGTTTCACTAGCAGCACCTGGCCATGGAAACAGATAGGGATTACCCTGTTTATACATTTGATATTTCTTTCCTATTATTTATGTTTTTTTTAGTTTTTCCTTTTTCCACCTAATGAGACCAATTAGTGCAAAATGTCAAGAGTTGTCTTTGTCTTTAAATTTGTTTTTGTTTTTTAACTGTTCTTATTGGGCTTTGTTATGTAAAGGGTTTGCTCTCATGAAACATGTTCCCAGCCTTTCTTAACAAACAGTCTCGCATGACTCGGCTGTCATTAGTATTTGTTTAATCTGTGGAACCATTTGCTTTCCACCAGTAGTTAGGGTTACAGCTGGTCCATCAAGTTTATTCTTTTGTCATTGCTAGACACACATTTTGGCGTTTTAAAAACCATTCCGTAGGTAAATCTGTAAAATGTTTACACGGACTGAAATCGTAAAGTGCTGCCGAGGGGTCAGACATGACAGGAATTAAGCAACGTAAATAACAGTGGGAAAGTGATTCATTAGTTTGTGTGAGAGTCACAGTGATCACATCCAAGTTGTTGTGGATACCGACATGTTTTCCTTTTTTATGGTCACCCCACCTGCCCCGAAGGACTATTCAAATTACTGACAACACATGTCATTTGTCACGATCAGGTGAATCACAAACGTCTGTCAGGCAACTGGCCTGATCCAAAGTGTCTCGCTTTCCTGGTCTTTAAACCCCTTCTCAACCTGACATCACTTTGTGTGAGAGGCTCCTTGACGTAAGTCTGGAATGCAAGTCAGCCATTTCCCATATCCTACCCCTGACAGCATTTCTTCAAAAGAGAACTCCTTTTTTGGCTTTTTGTTGCCTGTAAACTCCCATACAGCCACAGTTGTCTGTAAAAAAAAAACCCTCAGGCTCACAACATCCACAATAATGAGTCAGACACAGCCTGACTCTCCTCTAGAAACACAGTGACATGCTCAGACAGATGTACAGGAGCTGAGGCAACCGAGTATAGAAGGGAGAACAGACTCCTCATACACCGCACACCTTTAGATCTGTGGCAACAAGGCTTGAGTGAGGAGATAACATGCAAAAGAAGTGAATGGGGATATGAACATGCGACTCAACTTCCTGCTGTTACACAGGTGAGTCTCAGATGTTTTCAAGGCATACAGGTTAGTTTTGTGGACGTGTGAGACTTTAGACCTATTTTTTTTTAAACAAAGAATACGGGAACTTGAAAAAAAGCATGGCAGCAAGATGAGGATATGCTTTTTTTGTCCTAGTTAAAGCAAAAAGACAGTCAGAAGGAATGTATGTTTAGATGTAATATCAGCCAGGTTTCAGGCAGTCTTTCTACAATCACCTGTCTGAAAAACTGGACCTGTTAGACGTTATAAGTCTGTTCAATTCTCTCAATAACCAGCAGAAGCTGGTTGACGTTTAAGCCATATCTACTTAAATGATAAAAGCTAGCTTGTAAAACTGGTAGTTTACACACTTCCCTGGGCCTCTGCCTACCTTTTATAACCGCGTATCACAATCATTAAAAAGAGAAAAGTGTGAAGGGAATAATCTGAAAGAGTTATATGGGTGTCAGCATGTGTGTGCGTTAGCGTTCGCGCGTGTAGAACAAGGAAACCGTACTCAGTTCTGAGTGTTTTCTGCAGGTCACATCAAGTCTTGAAGTCATGCTGGGGGATGAGCTCCCCGTGCCGGCTGGGATCCATCAGCACCTCCAGGGAGTGGCTGCGCAGCTTCTTGCTGCTGAAGGTGGTGACGGTGCTGGTTTTCCCCCACGAGGCCGTCCTCCCCCTGCTGGCGGGCTGCGCGTGCAGCATGAGGGCCGCGCTGCTGCTGCTGCGCTCACCCAACGTCTCCGCCAAGCCCTCCACGGTGTTCCTCGCCCAGCTGGCTCTGGCCGACGGCCTGGTGCTGCTGCGGTGGGCCGTCCGGCTGGGGGCCGGTCTGCTTTTGGGCACCGAGAGCGAGGCGGGCTGCGAGGAGCGGGCCTTCTGCCGGAGGGACGCCGTGAGCGCGGTGTGTCAGCATCTGCTGGACGCTCACCACCTGGCCTCTCTGCTCCTGCTGGGCCTGCTGGGGCTGGAGGCCCTGCTGGTCACCCGCTGGCCTCTGCAGACCCGGAGGCTCAGGACTTCTCGCTGGGCCCAGCTCAGCTGCCGCCTGGTCTGGGCGCTCGTGCTGCTCGAACTCGTGTCGTTGCTGCACTTTCGGATTCTCAAACAAGACTTTAACCTCTCGATGCTCCCCGCTCTCTCAGTCTGCCTGAGGAAGACTCTTTGGCTGATGGACTCCTGGCTGCATTACGCCGTCTTTGTCAATAAGCCGCCGAGGAAAAAGAGCTCATTTAGTTAACTTTACCTTTCTGCCATTCATGATTGTATTTATATGGTGAAGTTGTGATTATTTAATAACATTCAGTGGATATTTAAGTGAACAAAGATGCATAGATTGATTTTAAAGAAAGGTCTAATATATATATTCTTTTACAAAAGTATTTAACTTACTTGCTACTTGCTGAAAGCTTCTTTGCTAGTTTATTTGTCTGTGTATTGACGCAGCGTCTCCCCAGCAGAATATCTCAAGATCAAACAAATTGGACATAGGTCATCAGTTACAGGACATTTTTTAGGTCTCTCCAAAGAAAACCTGTCACCCCCCCAAAAAAAAAAAAATCAAGTTTGAAGGAACTATATAAACAAAGCATTTAATGAGTTGATTCTCCCTGCCTGATTCCTTCCATATGTAACATTGGGAATCACAGCCAGCTGGTTTCATCACATTAGAATATTTTGTTTATCAGGCACGGGAAGTGGTTAAGATTTCTCTGTTGTTGTACAAAAGAATTCTAATCACTCTTTGACTTTCAAAGATTTGATCAAGTTGGGTTTCCGGCAGACCACAGAGACTGATTTTACATAAATTACATCCATTCAAATGCAGAAAGGGGAAAGATTTCTTCTTCAATAGAGCATCTGAGGGGAGAAGTGTGTGTAGAAGCCCACGTGACCACATCTGCATGTGCCTAGTCACTTATTGTAGAAGAGATGCTTAATGCGTTTATCTTCAGTTGACCAAATCAATCGCTCATTACTCTGAGCTCTCCACACTGGTTTCCTGTTTATCAGAGTCCATCTTTAAAATGCCACAGTTGGTTTGGTTTAGTCTTGCAGTACTTCATTGGGTTTTTGTGTGTGGAACAAAATCTGCAGGTCAGCTGCAGCTCCTACTTGAATCAAATCCTGAGACTCTCGTTTTTGCAGCTCAATTTAATTTATAAAATCAAATATAAATCACTTGATTTATCAAATCAAATTGAGGGGCTTTTGATGAATGACTGTAACTGTTTTGTACTTGACATCATGGAATTAATTGTTTAAATTGTATTTATTACTGACAGATTTGGTTTGGAATTCATTAAGTTGTAAAGAACTCTGAGTGACCTTGTTTGTGAATTGCGTGCATGAATAAAAAATGTGCATGCTTTCTCCCGAGGCTGCGCTTGTTTTATATTAAGCCAGATCACACAAAGCAGAGATCAACCCAGATAATTGTTGGATTGCCGCCTGCTGTGCCCTCACCAGCGAGGCACTGCAATTTATTTGTGGCTTATCTTCTCGATTTTTCTTGTATATTAGTTTTACAGTACAAAACAATATGATAGATCAATACCAATTCCACATTTCTACCGAAAACTAATGACTTTTTTTTTATTTGTTCAATATCCTCCAACACATTTTCACTTGCACACTGTACAAACTGTTGAGGAAAGCATTTTCTCTGCGAGTCAAACATGGGTCACACAGATAAGACTTTTCGGCAGTCAGTATGGCAAACCATATCAGCAGCTACGATCATCTTTGAATTACACAAATATGTCACTGAGGAGAAAAGGGGTCAATACGTGCATCCTGTAAGTAAAATGTTCGTGTTTTCAAAGTATGGAAGGACTTTGTTGCACAACCTCTTCGTACATTACAGACACCACAAAAGACAACATGCCCTGAAAGTGATATGGAGATCTCAAAGGAGGAAACCCTCACATACCTACACATACCTCAAGACTGACGCGCTTTGCCACTGCAACCAGGACTGGGCTTTTTTTTTGAGGAACTGTTGATGAGGAACAAAAGGCCAAGAGGGACACGTGCTGATTAGTAAGACTCCTCCAGTTTGCGCACATCTGTGTTTGGCTGCAACTTCAAGTGCTTCTGGAACTAATCAATTAAGGCTTGAAAGCCAGGAAGAGCAGACTGAGGAGGCATGGCCCAATCCGTCCCATGTCGCCCTCTGTTTGACAGGGGTATCCTCCCACAGTGAGCTGTTGCACTGGGGCCCATCACTCAGAAATTAGCAATGTCAGGAGTCAGACCTCTGAAAGAGAAGCCCTTTTTTCTGTGTTTTTTTTCAATGAAAGATTGAAAAATAGTTTCACTTTGAGGAATAAGAGAATCCGTTCAGTAATGTGAGAATAACAATGACACTTTCAAGAATTTCTCATTCCGATAATGAGACTTGGCAGCTGTTTCTTTGGTCACAGATGAGGACATTGTATATATTGTGCTTTGTAATGCAGGTCGGCAGCGCCCCCTGTAGGCTGTGTGAGGGTAAGGCATAATGAAAAAAGCTTGCACACTTTAAAATGATTTCTGTAGCACTGTAACTGCACTTTTTATTGGGAATAATCAAAAGAAATAACAAGTAATATGTTCAAACAGAAACCTTAGAAGAATGAAAAAAATCCAATGCCTACAAAATAAGGCCACAAAGAACTTATCATAAAAAAAGATTCCTATCATTTAAATCTTTGAGAAGTAAATATTTGGAGCAATTTACCTCTTGATTAAACAAGCTGTGGTCAAGTAAAAAGTGAAATGTTTATAGTGATCACATTTTTAAAATAATATTTTTTCAAAACAATATGTGTCAAACCCCTCCCTTAAAAGGTTCAAAGGCTCAGAGAAAGCAAAATGACATGTTTAAATATAGACATGATTATGTGGTGGAAGTAACGGATATGAAACATAAACATAACATAATGTCTCTTTTTCTAACCCCCAAATAATTTAATCTCACTCAAAGCACACAAGAAATACACCAAACTTCTTAAAAGGGAAACACTAAAACCATTATTTTCATTTCCACTTATTACAATATGTTCTGATTGTGTATTGAACAAGAAAAGTGGCTTTATTCACTGGATACCTGACACACAACAACCTGAAACTAAGGTAGCTCGATTAAACTTGATATGTTTTTATATTGTGGAGCCTCTTTTTTTTCTTTTTTCTTCTGTTTTACATATTTTTATCGATTATCTTTATATATTTGTCTCCGGCAAGAGGTGGTGCTGTCATAGTAGTTGTTGCAGTATCAAAAAACATGGCCTGCATGTATAACAATTACTAAGAAAAAACAATCTAAATACTGAGGGCAGACGTGGAAACCATGATCCATCGGCCAGTGAACAGGACGATGATCAATAGAGACATAAAGCATGCCGACGGACAGGAGACCTGACAGAGAACAAGAGAAACCAGAAAGTTTTCAATACAGATGGGCGATTACAGTGAAAGACAACTGAGGATAATGAGCACAGGTGAAGCAAAGCGGACCAAATAACCGAGCTAAAGGGGAAACTAAGGAAGTATAGGTGAAAACAGCAAGGAGTAGAAACAGAAATTTGGAGGAGGAAAATCAAACAGCAAGGGCACAAAAGAATAATTAACCATGAGCAAAACACGACAAAACTTAAAGGCAAAAGCACAAAATGAGCCACGTGTCATAAAAACTAACCAAACCTACAAGAAAACCCCAAAACTCTGCTGCCCATGGATGACCACCAGAGCGGGCAAAAGGCAACATCTCATGGAAAAAAAGAGAACATTTTCCTTTCTAAACTTGTTATTTAATAGAATAGTCCATAATCGGAGAGTAGAGTACATTGTAGCTGTGGCTCACAGACACGTCTGAAGGAAAAACATGCAACCAGTGGCACTGGAAATTAAATAAATAAAGATATCTCCCAAGAAATGCTACTGGAAATCTCAAGAGTTAATGAGTGAACATTGCTTTGGACTCCACGGTCAACATCTTAGAGATTGCTCATCAAAGGTCAAAGGTTAATCCTGCTGTGATGCAACAGGAATAGCGCAATTTAACAAAGTTAAGTCAAAATAATTTTACAGTTTGGAGGTGCTTCACAAACTGCTCAGTAAAAAAAAACGGCCTCTATTCTCGATTCTTATCTTTTTAGAGGGTTACCACCCATCTAGCCCATTTAGGGTGGAGTACTCTGTTCTGCTTGTATTTTTGACTCAAAAGGAAAACAAACTCACCCCTCGTGCAGTGCCCCTCACAACCCCCTCCTCCCCTGCCTCCAAATTCATGGATGCACATTACCAAGGCAACAACACCAGCAGCTGGAGTATCTGACCAAAGGAGAAGGCGTCCTGCCTTATATGGCGAGGAGGTGGATGTCTCTTCTCCTTTTTCCTCACAGTTGACGTAAATCACACAGTACAATGTACGACTTCATGATTCCAGCGCACAAATAACTCATCATTTATTGAGAGACCAATTAAAAAGAATGTTTCATCCACCAGGTCCAGATTTGCCAGCACTGGAAAGGCTGAGGTCAATATTCAGGTTGTGAATCTTCCACATTTTAATATTGACTCCCTTTTCCCTACGGGTAATGACTATGCAGTCGAGTTCGTGCTCTGTCTCTTGTCAGGAATAAAAACCAAGCACTGTTTGACTGTTTGTGGGCAGGTTACCCTCAAGGAACCCCAGATAATTGAGGGCTGACAATTAGATCTTGACATCTTCACATAGCTTAAAAATGCAAAATCGCTTATAAGGAATTTAGACAGAAAAGTCTGAGATAGAGGTTTAGTTTATGAGCAGCTATTACGTTGAGCTCTGTTTAGAAAGCCCATACAAACACATAAAGAAAAACCCTGAATGACCTAATAAACTTAAATAAAGTTTGACTAACAATGATAAGCTCAAAAGACACTTTGTTCCTTTTGCCATCTGGAAATCAAATTTTTTTCCCTCAAGGCCACAGTACGTAAAATGAGTCTCTTATCTGATGGATCGCACCAAGAAAACTGATCAGATTATAACAGAGAGAGCCCCAGGACTTGTTCCAATTTACGCCCTAAAGTGGTCCGCATTTTGGAAAAGTACTGATTAAATCTTTGACATCTGAATTTCTAGGCAAAAAAGAAACAAGGTAAATCAGTCCATGATATCTCAAACGGCTCCGTCTGCAGCGGCTGAGGTCAGTTCTTTCTGTCTGGCAGACCGGCGCTCACTCATGGCTGCTCATGCTTGCGCCCATCAGTGCT